TAGCTTTATGCTTGAGATAAAACAAAACATTTCCTTAATGCTTTGTTCAAATTTTGATCTGTTGACGCGGTTTTGTTATATGTATGAAAAGCCTTAATCTATGGAATGAAATGTTTACAGAACCTCCGTATAAAGATTAAATGATTCTAAAGCCATCAGTAATCTATACTACAATTTTGAGCTACTTTTACTAATTTTACCCTTTTAATTTGGTAAGATATTTCAATATTCCAACAGGAATTCCACGAATTTAATTCGTGCAAAACTTAGCAATTCTGTGGTAATGTTTCATCTGGGGAAGTCGTTAACAAAAACGCGAAAAACCAGAAGAAATATAAGCACAGTACGAGAGTGGGTGAAAAAGGAAGATACGCTTCAGTTTTTTCCTTTTTTTTCGGTTTTCTGGCGCGAAGGCAAATTAGATTATCAGTCCTGAATTACCACCCCAACTACAAGAGTATCTCAGAATTCTCATATTTCCGATTACACCTCAAAACAGATTGGAGGACTCATGAGTTTCCAATTAACTTCGGTGACCTGTGAACGCCTCCTCAGCCTGGCCGACTACAGACCCAATACACACTTCGCAAATATTTCTCTCAGATGCTATCGTAAGGAATTACTAACAATTATTTACCGACGAGAAGGGAAATAACCACGTATATATTTCGGTGATCTCAAAGTTGAAGCAAATGGTTATTTCATAAAAGACATTTCGAAATAGAAGTTTGAGTGTAAGAGGTTCGGCTGTCTGGCGAGAAGGAGCAGTCATGAACTGGATAGTTTAAGAGAAAGTCACCAAGATCGCGGGGTATTTTGAAGCCTCAGAACTCCTATGCTCGTGTTATTGTTAACTGGATCATTTCTCACTGGTCTTCACAGCAGATAGTGAGACATTCCGTCACAGTTAAGCACAACACCCAATCAATCAAGCTTGGCGCTCTGTAAATACGCCCGCTGACTAATTAAGCTGTGGCTTACAACATGTGTGCACGCGACAAAACTGTTTAAGGTAAATATGTTAATGAAATTATTTTTGTTGCGCACTTGACTTGTTTAATCGTACAATAACATGAATTCGTTTAAAAATTCCTGTTTTGTTTTCTGTAAAACTGTTCTCCTCTGAATACAAACAGCAATCTTGAAACGTGATTGCAAGCAGGGTCAAAGACTAAGCAAAAGAACCTCGGTGAACAACTTATAAAAAGCCGGTTCCTGACCGCTCATATTTCTCATTTCATCAGTTTTACGAAGGTTAAGAGTTTGTTTGTCAAAGACTTTGAAAGGGTCAATTTAAGAGATTGTGTGTCCTGGTGGCAAAATCTGACCTTTCTTAATGACTGTGAATTTCAATGGCTATAACGTTTCGTTTTAATCATTTCTCCTTCCCTGGACTCTTTTGAAGCACAATAATTGTTAGCCTCAAGCGCCCATGATCTGAGGAAATCGCGAGCTGCAGAAATGCCATTCGCCTGAAAAATAGCACGCCTTGCAAAGTTGCGTGACCGCTGTGGGAACACACATACACGATTACGACTATAAAAAATTGAATTTCCGTTATCCAGATTTAAAACTGTATCCAATGCAAACAAATTCGATTAAGCTGGGTATCAGAAATGATACCTCAATAAAAAGATAAACGATACATTTCGCACGGATTCGAGGAGATCGAGCAACTAATGGCGTAAAGCTGCTTCTTGAAAAACAGAGAAGGGTATCTATACTAACAAACATTAATTTTATCTTGTGTTCCTGACCCACTCGGAAATCACTGAAATGCAATCAGACAGATCGAATTCCTCTTAGTGATAAAGAGAAACACTTAATTCTGATAAAAGAAGAGTCACTGAAAAATGAGATTTTTGAGTCGGAACAGGAAAATCATACCAGTATAATTTTGGGCATATTGCTGTAGCCAGATCATTGAGAATAATCCTGGCATGATTAAACTTCTTGTAAATTTTCTTGATGTTGCGTTTGAACAAGAGAGAAATTCTGTTGCTTGAGTACTGTCTTCTCAAACTTGCTCTTTTATCTCAAGCATAATGCTCAAGGAATTTGATCGAGCACATTCTTTTCAGCTGCTGGTGGTGGGAACGGGGGAGATTGAGGTGCTATTAAAATAATTCGACTTAGCACAGTTAAAACTTTTGAGGACAATTTTTGGCAAAATGCCATGTTTTCAGGGGTGACGCTCAAAAGCATAATGCTCCAATTTTCGAGCATAGTTTATCGGAGCCTATTCTTGAGAACATGAAAGAGTATGACCGAGTTAAATAAGATGTCATGTCATCTTGGCTTCAAATAAAGTAAAACCGTAAGAGCTGAAAGTTCTGGAAAAAAACCAAATTATTTAGGCTCAGGCATTTCTTGCTAATTTAGAAGTTCAAGGTTTTTTTTTTCATGCACTAAAATACGGTCAATCGTCTTGGCAAATCTTCAAATCTTATTCTAAAGCAAAGGCGTTAATGGAGCTCCAATACTACGTTCTTCCTACACTTAAGTGGACAGTTTTATAACCTCTAAGACTTTCAATTTCAATTAGCTAATTCAACTCAGTTTCTACCGTATACCACATCGAAACTATTGAAACCCAAAACTATTTAACAAATGTAAAACCAGCCTCAATTCACTGATCTTACACACGTGCGCAAGGTGTTTTTTAAGGCTAAGTGCACCGGCTTCTAATCTTCTCAGGTAAATGATATGACAAGCATATGAAAACAGAAATGTAACAAGCTTAAAATACCACCATGTCGGTATAGTTATTAGGATACCAGACAGAATGGGTCGCAGTAAAACCCCATATCATATTCTGAGAGTTAAAGACAAGACTTTAAGAGATATAGACATTCTTCAAGTGCTTCGGAGCAAAAAAACGGGAAAATGACTACGGACTCTCATATCCAACTCTACTGCGGTAAGAAAGGCTTTGTGATGTGACTTTGTGTATAACACCATCCAAGTTACCAAGTGACCTGAGGAGCAATTTTCAGAGATCTTTACAAAGTTACTATCGTTTTATAAGAGTCTCCATTAGGCGACCGACTCAGTGCCTTTTAACAAGAGAGCGATTAATTTAAAGCCATATTGCGGATTACACTTCGAACTTGTCTTGTCCAAGCGAAGATACTGAGCAGATCTCCGGCGTATTACTCCGCAGCTGTAAACACAAACTCTTAGATGATTCGTTTCGTAACGTTGCAGGCAAACAAGAGTCACATTATTTATGCGGGACATTAAAAATTTTCAAACCAAAGAATTTTCGTACATTTGTTTACTAAGGAGTTAGTAAACAATGGTTAATCTGAAGTAGCAATTTTTCCTGGCTACGAGGCTATTTACAAACCTTTCAAAAAGGCAAAGACGATAGCAGTCTGGGCTTCTTCAGAAGAAATATATTTGGTCATAGAGAAAGACGGTAAATTTTGAGCTCGAGACTTAATAAGCAAGATGCTAAACGAGTTTGCCAACAAATTCTTAAAAGGTCCCCTGACCGAAACGAACTACCCCTTATCGCGAACCAAGCCCTTGTTAATCTTTAATTTGTAGAAACACCACTCTTGCAGCAGACCATCTCATCACAATCGACTCATTTAGTGTTCTTAATAGCGAGAGTCCGTAATTGTGGGTTACGAGAGAAAAATAAATTGTTTTGTCTCCAAACATATGAAATAATATGTAACTACGCAAACTGATAAAGTTTATATCTTGGCCTCACGGACCAGAAAAAGATCCGGCCGCAAGTAGGAAATTCTGCGGCCATGGCATGTTCGCACCCAATTGGAGAATGGTTTCTTTATTTTCCTCTATGGTAATGTCGCTCTATATTATGCGTGTCAGGATTTGGACGAAGTATGTAAGTGTCCGCCATAGCGAGAGATAAAACAAATGAAATATTGCTCTGGCGGGGTTGAGGGGATGAAAGTTTCCGCATTTCCGTTATAGGGAGAGTCCGTCATAACGAGAGTTAATTTCAGTCATTTCTTTGTGTTTCGCCGGGGGCTGGCTGTTGTCCGCAACGGCGGGATGCCGTAACAGCGAGGAATCTACAGGGCGAGAGTCGACTGCATCAAGGACGTGCACGAGTACAGATGCAAGTATTGAATTGAATCTAAAACAAAACGCTCAACAGTTGAGATTTAAGAACCTTGTGTAAAAACAACGTAAATTTATCCCTAAAATAATAAAAATCTTTTGCTCAGGATGTTTTTTCTGGCAATGCAAAATATGAAAAAAGGGTTACTTTTATCTTGTCCACAAGGGTCTTATTTTGCTTACATCACGGTCCTACCATTTTGATTGTGCAGCCAAAAAAAACAAAAAACAAGAAACTTCTAATGAAACGCGTGCGTTCATATTGATAAGCAAAAATGTTTGTTCTTTTTCTTCTTGCTTTCTTTGGTCAAACGCGAAACTCACGGGATATAAGAGAGCTTAAAAGCACCTCAACAGGGCGACTAACGAAAGCTGCTCGAAAGATGAAAGCCAATTTTAGGATTAAGATTTAATCTGTGTTCTTGACTTTAAAGAACGTGACAGCCTCCAAGTGCCCCGAGGAAAAGAGGAGATCGTGATCAATCCAACATACTTTTTGGACTCGACACGCGTAGGTATGAAACCTACCCAGGAAATCTCAGCTTACTCATTAAATCTGAGATCTCTCAGTTCGTTTTAATTAAAAAAAATAATAAACATCGAGGAGATGAGCACCCAAAAGAAATCTAGCCGTAACGTGGTAAAGGTCCTGAAACAACGGGTGAATTTTCGGCAAAATTTTTACATAATTTCCATCGCACTTACCGAAATGATCCACCTTTTTGCCGCTCCTTGAAAGACCCAAACCTTTTCCAAAGAGGCCAAAATTTTCTCTTTACTCACCAAGTTTAGTCACTACAGAGTTATTCTCGTATCCTTTTTAGACAACAGAAAACGTTCTTGATACAATACATATAATGTATTACTAGAATGACCGTAAAATTGATAACAACAATAATGTTTAAGATAACGAATAAAGAAAACTCTTTGAAATCTTGAGTTGGTTCAAAACCATATTCTGTGTGCGTGTGTCTCCAGGAAGATTCCGTGATATTCCTCTCCAGATAGAAATTGGATTTTTACGATTTGTGGAGAGAGATTTAAGCTGTATCCAGTTAAATAAAAACTGAGGAAAGTTAAAGAAATGTTTAGGGATTGTCAAGGGATGTTTGAAGAAAAAAATATTCAATGGCTATAATTCAATATACAAAAATTTCTTATTATCGAATCGATCACGAGCTGGACAATTCCAGCTTTAACTGAACTATTGACAAACCTTGTCGTTGACATTCTTTTTTTTATTGGATTCAGATTACCACAAAATATTTTAATCTGTTTATATTAAGTTATCACAAAACAAACATTCGCAAAGGTGTAATTCTTGTCTACAACTCACAGGGAGCCAACCGCAACAGAAAGGACCTCCTGTTTGAAAACTGGTTCAAGTGATAATTTATTGGGTGAGTTTTCATCTTTTCGTCTAGGCACAGACGCAAAATTTCGAGCTCAGAACAGATGTCTAGTTACAGTAAAGGCCAACCTTCCTACAAGGTTATTGGTTCAGTGATAAGAGGGCTTAGATTAATTTACTCTTTAATGCTGGGTGATTGATTAGATTCCTTAGACCATAATTTTGTCAAAAACCACGCAAATTTTGCAACTGAATTGTTTCGCTCAGTGGTTTGAAAATAGACCCTGGAAAAATTCATCAAAAATTCTTCTACTCCGTGCTAATTTCTATTAACCCAAACAGTTTGTTGTATTTGTTTAGTGCTTGTAAAGAATTAGACCAATTTTCGCTTGTTTGCTTTGAGTTATGAGAATGATAGGGTTTCCGGCATTTCGTGGTATTTGGGAGATGGTTTAATGTCATTACTACATGGTATACAGAAAGATTATTATTCTTTGCCGACAGAGCATCTCAACCTGCAATGATTTATGAATTTTTTCATGTGATATCCCTTCACATGAAAATTTGTTACTTTTATCTGTGCACATAAAATTTATGACAGAAAAACATTGCCGAATTCAAATAATTGTAAGGCGTACTGCTAACTTTTGTTCGTCTCTTCAATTTCTTAAACTTTCGTACATTCCTATCAGAAAATTACAAGTAGGGAAAGCTTTTTCAAAGGAACAATTTCTCAATGGCGTAGTTCTTTCGTTTACTCGCGACTTTCCCCATCTTTTTTCTCTTACCAAAGCTAACGGATCAAGAATTCTTATACAAGCTGAAAGTCAAATAAACACAGCTTGAATGAAGCCGGTCTCCGCAGGATTTGGTTGTCGCCACAAAGGTGTTTTGGAGACATATATTTGATCATCACCTGAGGATTATACTAATGAAGTTTGAGTTAATCCGCTATGTTGTTAACGAGGAGAGACTGCGAGGCACCACACGTGCTAAAGGTAGATTAATTTACGCCCAACTACTCCCTTTAAACGGACACGAAAGTGTCTTGAAAAGCCGCAATGTCTTTATGAGTTCACCATTAAAAGGAGAGTAGGTTCCTTCATAGCACTGAGAAAATGAAAGGGAAAATCTTGAGGAAAAAAATATCAGCTTTAACAACGATCCAGATTTTTAAGAAAAACTTGTTAGTTTGAAGATGGAAGTAAAGTTGGAGATCTTGGTGAGGTTTTCATGTGATACGAAATACAAAAAATATGATATCGTTTTAAGGCCGCGCCCATATTATCTCTTTTAAAATTTAACGAAAGTTGAGTGAACAGTGTATCAGTGCAGTTTTTGTCCCAGCAGAATCTACCGCAGTGTTTCTCCGACAACGTATGGAGTTTTGAATAACGTACCGCAAAATCTGCGCGTCAATTAAATTATTTGGACACCTCAGTTGTATTTTGAAATGATCCCTATCACAGTCATCACACTACAAAAACATGATGGGGCTTCACGCCAATCACTGTCAAGGGGGTTAAAACAGATCGTTTTCAAAAACAGTCGGTGTTCCTTATCTGTACCAAACCACCTAAAAACAAACTGCAACAAGGAGGGATCCATTCCGGAAATTCTTGAAAAGAAATAGCTCTGTCATTCGTTGATAAAAAGCCTTTCACCCGTAGCGGTGAGAGCGTGCAAAATAAAGCTTGGAACGACACTGAGGCAAAGTGGATTGCCCGCTGTTGACAGTTACTCGCGGGAGGCTGATTATATGCCACAAACACAGGAGATCTTCTGTACCTCGGAAGGGCTTTTTTGTATTCTTCATAAGACAACAAGAGGCGTGAAATTAAGCCTCAGATATCTGCTATGATACCTTTAACCACTGCTTTACGGAGAGTTTTGTTTTGCAAGTGAAGCAAGCGCTTTTGCAAAAATGATATTTTAATCTCAGTAATCATAGCAGAATCCCTTGCAACAAATCAAAAAAGCAGATGTTGAAACCCGCACCTTGTTCATTTCTAGAACGATACTTGACAGCTTGGAAAAGGTTAGTTATGACGCGTCAAAGATTTTTGTCCCCTTAAGAGGAAATGATAAAAAGCACGATGGATCTTTACCGCAAACCGTGGTTTGCATTGTGTTGTTGTCTTTGTCAATGAGCCATCACTAAACTGTCACGTTCTCGAAAAGGATTATAACGTCGTTCAAACGGAACAACGTTCCAAACCACGCATTTCCCCCTCACGATCGCTCAGCGACGCAAATCTTTCCGATTTTACGTCGCGCCTAGTGGCGCGTGAAAACAATACAAAACAACTACTAACAGATATCCTGCTAATGCTTAATTAAAGTATGCCCTAAATTAAATTGTTTTTCCATTGTTCTAAAAATATTTTTATCATTCCCTTGATGTAATATGAAATACGTGAGAAAAAGCCCAATCAAAAGCTGTTTGTTCTTGATAAGCTCCCATATGAATACATCTCCAGAGATGAAGTGATTTTTGCTAATGTTAAAGCAGGGAAATGTGCTTGGATAAGCAATCCTTCGAATAATAAATGAACAAAACGTGGAGTATTGTTACGAGATAACGAACAATTTAAAACATGTCTTCAGTGCTACTCACCTAAGGCCAATAGTACCTCTTCCTCGTTCTTGGCCGTAGCCGGTGCGGTGGCCCCAAATACATCTTCGTATCTGGCTATAAGCGCACGAGATTCATTTGCGTAAACCATGAATACCATATGAACTTCTCCTGGATTTACTGGCGAGAGACAATGCATCTTCTCGCCAAAGCCATAAACTATCACCAGTGGGGAAGACTGCATTTCCAAAACCTCTTCCACGAACTTGCTTCCCTTGAGAATTTTCCGCACTTCGAAATCTGCCGCATGCGTTGATGTTGCATCGTACGAGTAGAGATTCACCACTTTCCCAATGAACACCACTTGGACAAGTTTAGCACGCTCTCCGGCGCTTAGTTGCTTCCAGCCATCGAGCAGTTGAATACAGGGTTTTGAGAGTTTAGGTACCGTTAACAAAAATAGCAGCAAAATCACCGGTGATCGCGTAGAAGAGCGCATCATTTTCTAAATATCCCGTTAAACTCCGCAATTAATGAAAAGTAGTACACATGTAATCTGCGTCTCACGAGCGACGGAAGCAAGCAATAAATCAAGTCAAATTTGTGTCACTTACATCTGTGAGAATTCCACAACTCTGGCGCCGCAATAACTAACTACCATCATTAGGTCAGTTTCATTCATTCACTCGTGTTGTAAAATGTTTACACGCACAAACAGAGGTTTATCCGATCGGTGGTCTTCATCGTGAGGCCTTGAGATAACTAGTGAGGCGATCTGTTCTAGATAAGAAAGAGGGGATAGTCACAATTAATCATCAATTAGTAGGATTTACTATTGACAGGGAATCAGCAGGATGGCCTGCAATTAATCGACTTTGTACGTGGTGAAATTCCACACATTCATACGCTAAGTTGTTTCGTTTGAGATAAACGTGGGCAGTTTTCACCTTTTTACCGGCAATCAACTCGAATTTCAAGTCAACGTCGGGACTTCGTATGTCAATATCGTCTCGTTCGTCCTCGACCCAATTTACGATGCTAAATGAAACTCGCTATTAAAGACATAAGATCACCCCGCGCCGACTAGCTATCAGACAAGAGACGTGTCCGTTACATTACCAAACCTAAAGCTTTGTTACATGTCGAAGTTGATAAATCGGCTGTGCATTTGTAGGTTTTTGTTATCATTACTTAACAAAAATTTATTGATCGCCAAGGAGAACCCGAAACAACCGCTTATCGTCCAAAGGTAACCAAAGCGAGTGGCCAAATTTAACGAGAAACTAACCCTCACCTGAATAAAGAAGCTAAACTTGCGCTTTGTCCACAAATAAAATAATACTGATGGTGTTATTTTTCTCCGCGTCTAACAAAAGAATTTTATCAGCTTTGAGGTCACGAAAGTTTAATCTGTCGCCATAATTACACTCCCTCCTCTACTGAGTTAGATGTGTACCGCAATGAAATTGTATCTCAGTTTGCTGATCAAAGTAATAAAAATTCCTTCTCTACTTTATTCTAAAAACAAATCTCTTCCGGTGGCAAAGAGGGATAAGGCCTTTTAGGAGAAGCGTGCATGCGAATCTTCATCCCCGGGTCAAGAGTGACCTGGCAAATCTGAACTTTGGAGAGCGACTTATTGTCTTAATTTGAGGATAACCAAATCTGAAACCTTACTGGAAAAATTGCCAAAATTAAAAAAGGTGGATGATAGATTGTTTGCCTTGCAATCCGAGAGTTGTCAAATGTTCTTTCTAATGAAGGACACTCCAGAGAGCAACCGAAGCGTGGAGACTGCGCGCGAGAGGAACCACGCGAGGAAGGCACAAAAAGCAATTCACGGTTGCATTAATGAAGTTTTATAAATGATATATATATATATGCAGGAACAAAAGTTATTACAGTAAGCCGCAAAACTTTCGCCATAGCGCTTTGCGCTGTTTATAAGAGGCAATACATTTTTCTCAGTCCAAGCTAAACGTGAAATTTTGTAATCTGTGGGTGCCAGGATCAGTATGTGTTTACTTTCTTCTGGGAACATGGGTCACGTTTGAGGATATTCAGTTATCATATATCATTCAAAAGATAACACGCCAACAAAAGGCCCTCTGTGAATGATCATCAGCTTACAAAGTCTTCTTTTTTTTTTTTTTGCCGGATTAAGCATTATTACAAATGCATATTACAACAAGAACCACGCGAAAATCATCTAGGAGATTTTCCTTATAATTCGCCTCCTGTAGCTTCACCCAAAGACTAAATTTACAGCCATCTCGAATGGCAGCTGCATTGAATCAAAGCACCGACAAGAACCTTTGATTGTTCAAAGGCCACAAGTTGATTTTACCGAGGACAGTCCTGGCCTCGGGAGCCATAAAAACGGGCATAAATTTTCCTGATCGAGTGTCGACACGTTACCTTGGTGTCGAAAATAATCCGAGTTTGTTTTACTTTATTTCGCTCTGTGATTGGTGCAAAAATTACGCAGCACCCTCTCAGCCAATCAGATATGTCACTAACACCACAGAAGTAAAAATAATTTGATCGCTTGTGCTTTCCCTCGCTAAGACCATGCACACTTGCTCGCAAGTTGTCTTCTTAAGATATTTTCTTTCATGCTGATTGGGTGGTCTGATTAGCTGGCTTTTGGCTATATGATGTTCATTCCAGATTCGCCATAATTTAAACAAAGAGAATTCACATTCCATTAAATCCCAATTCTGTCGCTGCTGTTGTTTTCGAAGCGTGAAAAATTAGGCTTTCAATAAGGAGATAATCTGAGAGAAAAAGTTTTGTGAGTTAGAAAAACACCACGGAAGAAATATAAAACCATTAACAAACAAAGATGTCAAGAGATAGAGGAAATTTGCACGGATTGCAAACGACGAACCTCAATTTTTTGCACTCTAACTTTTCAAGTAGCATCGACACATAGGGGCGTGAATGCGTCATAAACTGGACACGCCACCCGAAATGGCGGAAAAAAGATTTGGTTGCCGCCTGTTGTCTCACACGCACAGAACTTGCAATAAAGCAATGAACATTCTGTTGTAACAGGACCTTTGGGCGTAAAAAAACATACCATTACAAGACAGAAAATCAGAAGTAGAATATGCTTGGAAATATCCGCGACGTAGGGGATAGAGTAAACAAAAGCACGAGTAACTGAATACGATAATTGTGTCTGAGGTGATTAGACCCGTGCAATGAGGAGCTCAAGTGTGCAACTTTCTCTTGCAAATCGAAATAAATTTTAGTGCTATTAATGTAAAGTTAAAGGTATCAACTGCTAACCCGGGTCAAACCACTGAGGATGGGCTCCGGCCTTAACGTACCTCGATTCTTGTACGAAACTTGGGCGAAAAATTTGCATGTCTAACAGATGTTGAAACACAATTGTCCATAAGTCGAACGAACAAGGGGGTATGGCGATCTATCGAGGACAGAGTCGTTATTATCATTTAGTCGTTTACAAAGAAAGAAAAATCGTAAATGACTCTCTTATTCGTGTAACAAATATTTGCCAGCTGGAAGAAAAATTTGGGGGCGTTGCTGCTCTGAAAAAAGGCTTTCCTGATGGTTAAGAACACGAAGAATTATCTAACAGGGCGTGGATAATTATTCATATTTCCTTGACGCTTTTGACAGAATTTTGCAATGACAGCCAAAGAAATGAAGAATGAAAACATATCGGACATGATATATACAACTGTTACAACGAAAACAGATGCAAAATTACATAAAGAATATATATACATATACAAGGCAGTACCTGATATTGTGCAGCTCTGAAAACAAACTGTGAACATCAACATAGACGGTGAAACCACAAAACCATGAATCAATCAAGTGCGCTCTACTTAGTTAACATGCGTGTTTTATAGTCAAACTATGTTTACTTGTTCATTTTTGTCATTTTATTTATGCCACCTGATTTGCTGTACTTATTTCAGCGGTTTAAAACACTAATCTCTAAAAATATTTTTTTAGCCAGACAAATCCCTTTATGGTTTTTTTTTTTTATCTCATGATCAGTTTTATATATGAAAGGTGTTTTTGTATAAAAGTACCGAATTTTGCAAGGCTCACATGACCATATCAGTTATGCCGGCAAACCTAAAGGATGTTTGAAGCTCTTAAAGGATTTTCTTACAGCCTACGTATACAGTATATCTGTACGGTATTTTAATCTTTAAATTTAAGGCTGCTCTTGGCTAAATTTTCTATGTGCGTGTCCTTAAGTTTTAAACCCATGATATCAGCGCTTTCGCAGTGGTGCGACTCTTAGGACTCTAATTGATTTAAATTGGGACTTTGCCATTCTATTCAATCTCAACAGTTCAGACCACGGGGAGTTTAGATAATTGACTAAGCTGCTTTTTTGCAGATACCTTTTCCGAATATTTGATTTAAAAAAGTTCTCTTTCACCAGTCATCAGTCAACCAGGGATTTTTTCAAAGTGGTGGAAGAAGTGGTTGAGGCGACTTTTCTGAGAGGTTAATAATTCGAACATTAAAAACAGGTCACAAAAAAATCCATAGGTGTTACAACCTTCACTTCTGAGTGCGGCAAGGCTTCAATTAGAGATAATATTTGCGGTACTCTAGTTATGACACACAATTTGCTGCTATGCTAGTTTAACGTTGACACACGATGAATATGATCGGGACTTGAATGTTACACTAGTGGGACTCCGTTGTCGATTTTCACTATCACGTCCGCCATCAACAACTAAAAAAATCCAAACCGTTCAGTACCTGAAACTAACAGATTTAATTAGAACCTATCTATGCCATTAAATGCCCCAACGTGTATTGCTTTTTTCACGTTTTCGATACGGCATCTATTCAAGGGCGGAGGTTATTCGAGGGTGGTGTTTATTTCAAAATCATATTTCTTAACTCGTCGACAACAATGATGGCAGATCATTTGAATCTGTTTTCCTTTTTACGTAACAGAAACTTGTTCATAGTTCCCATGTCTCGCTTTTTTTTAATCCAAATTTCTACGGATGGTGTAGATAACCGACTCCTACCGTACTTGTTATTTTGTTTTCTTTTCATTATGGTCAGCAAAACGCAAGCATTCCTCTGATTAGGTGCGTCTGTTAGACGAAAGTAGCGTTTATTGGTAATTTTGCTTCCATTTACGGCGTTTGTTTGAATTTGATTGGGGCAAAAACGGTGAATGAATCACCTGCCGAAATCAAAGGTCCGTTTCTTCTTGACAGTAATTTGCTAAAATGTTTATCAAAACATTTACAGGACTTAGCGCGATGATATTACATTTCCTTCCGGAGAGTAAATGAGAAGACAGAGAGCAGAGGCGAAGCTAAGATTTTTTTCAAAGGGAAGGTTACGCTATGTCGCTCTCAACTGCTCGGAATTGCTTCTCGGCTATCGTGTCGAGTTTCTCGCCATGTGTTGCTTAAATTCACATTTTATTGGACGAGCATTAAATGATTCGTTGCATTGAGACTCTTAGCTAGGATTTGAGCTTTTTCGCCACCACAAGGTTTGTATATTGGTGAATTCCAACACAAGTCATCTCATCAAGGAAGTGGAGGTCACGGCCATTCCGAGAGCCCCCTAACTACGCCCCTGAGGAGCTACAATTAGGGCGTTGGCTGTGTCGATGCCACTAAAATTATTTTGAGTTTTAGAAGGAAACCGAAGTATGTTTCATTAGGGCTTGGCATTCAAAATTTTCGCGGAAGAAATGCATTTCCTATCCTTTCGAAGCGATTTTTATCGGAAAAAAAAGTCCTCACGCTA